AATACAAAAAATGCTCTCCTTGCAGTACCCCGCAGTAAGTAATCTCACCCGCTGGGGCAGGTTCGGGCAATTCCAGCCCTTAAAGTGACATTAAACCCTCAGATTTTTTAACATAAACCAATACTGTAATGTGTGCCTTACTGTAATCCATGGTTGTTTCCCTTCTCTTTGCTGCTCTTCCTTTTAAATCCTCATGTCTTCTCATGCTTGGGGAGAACTTCCCTTTTCAGCTCAGGGCCTCTTCCTGTAGTGCTGGCTCAGGTTTCAAGCCTATACAAACGTATAAACAGACACCGTGTATCCATTCCTGAGACAAGGCAGTCTGCTGCAAAACAGAAGTTCTGCAGAGCATGAGAACAGATACAGATTTAAAAGGAAGAGCAGCAAAGAGAAGGGGAAAACAACCATGGATTACAGTAAGGCACACATTACAGTATTGTTTTATGTTAAAAATCTGAGGGTTTAATGTCACTTTAAGCTACTGTGGAACTACAAGTCCCAAGAGACACTGCAAGACTGACAGTTACAGGCATGACTCCCATAGGCAGAGGCATGTTGGGATTTGTAGTGAAAGCACACCTGGGGGGCCAGAATTCCCCACCCCTGCACTAGAGAGTGCTGAGGAGTGCCAGTCGCTGAGGAGCATAAGAAATAAGAATGTGTATCCTATGCCCAGCTGCTCAATCTAGTGGCCACAATGCGGTATTTTCCTAATGTTACATTCCACTTGGAAAGAAAATATGCTGATAACAATAATAATACATGCAATTTTGCAGTGCTTTGTGAATTCTTTATAAATATACCCATTTAAGTCCTAGAAACTGATTTCGTTTCCAGGTAGTAGCACAACAGGAAAGCATTAGCAAATCGCCAGAGAAATAGTGGACATCCTTTTTTTCTAATGAAAGAACTATTTCTAGGCCTATGTTAGAAGTGGGAAAAATAAAGGGGATTAAGGGAGTTGTTTAGAGATTACTTTTATATAAGTAATACAGATCATTAAAAGAAAAAAAAAATGAAGAGAATAGGTATTTGGGTTGTCCCCAAGTAGCATGACAGCAAAGGATTGTCAAGAGTCAGATAAGTAGTAGAGCTTATTAACAAAAAAAATATTGAAGTACAGTTCTACTTCACTTTGATGTACTAATGTCTGCACTTCCTTTAATAAAAAGATTAGAGGGATGACATCATATTGTTCAGACATCTCCCTAACCTCTTTGCAAGGCCTCATTAAGTGTTACGTATCCCTCATCAGCTGCCATTGAATGTTGTAATACATATGGTAGTCATATACAGTAGGTGGCAGAGCATCTGCCGGGTGCTGAATATACAGATCAGTTTGTGAAAGCAAAGGTCATTCTGTCTCTGCAAGCATTGAAGAACCTTTAACCCTTTTGTTGCCTGAGCCATTTTTTTGTTTCTTGCATACATGCTAAAATGCACGTTTTTTTTTACAAAAAAAGAACTCCGGGCAACATTTTTTTAACCCTTGCAGTGGGGCTACCCTAGCACTGCAAGGGTTAACTACTCATTTTGGTCTAGGGAGGAAAATAACAAAGTTACACTCACCTCTGAGCTGCCTACTTTTGACAGCTCTCCTTCCTGCCTGTCTTCTCCTACGCTTCAGCGATGGTATGTTTTTTGGCATCCTCAGGTCCTATACACTGTATACACTGAGTGGCCAGATTATTATGACCACCCCATCAGTACTTCGTTGGGCCAGGAGATAACTCCACGAGATTACTTCGTTGGGCCGCCTCGTGACTCCACGAGATGTTGAAAGGTGATGCGAGGAATCTGACACTGCACTGTGGCCCTTCTGGTGTCTTGTACCAGTCTTGCCACTCTCCGTTCTGCCCTAACATTGACTAGTCGCTGACGGCCACAATTCGCACGTTCAGACCCAGATTTTCGGCTGACAGTCCAGTCTTTAAACACTTTAACAACAGCTGCTCTTTAACATTTAACGAATTCTGCTGTTTTGCTGATACTCGCCCCATGGCTCTGAGCTCCAACAATCATCCCACGTTCAAAGGCTGTTACCGTAAATTGCGTTGTTTACCCATATCTTCAGAAAAAAAAATCACTTCTACTGTCGTGCTAAACAACCTGCTTCCCTATTTATAATGGTCTGGCCCTCTAGCAACTTCAGCGCAAAATTATAGCTAATTATAGCTAATTTGCCTACAAACGTCAGGTGGTCATAATAATCTGGCCACTCAGTGTATAGAGCATGATCACTCAGTGACCTTAGACCGCTGCAGTGGAGGGGCGAATGAGGCTAAAAGGACCAGTCGAAGAGCAAGCTAGCTCGGAGTGTTGAACCAGTGGCGTAACAATCGCCATAGCGACCCAGGTGGACGCTTTGGGGCCTGGGCACAGGGGGACCCGGCCAGGACACCCCCCCTGATGCCGTGCGGGCTGTCTGGGTTGCTTTGGCTTCGAACGCGCAGCTGTTTAGATCACTGTCAGTGATCTCTGCAGGGCTGCGTTCTTCTCCACAGCCGCTGCTGAGTCAATGAGAGCCAGCAGCCGCGGTGGAGGGGCCTGGACCCGACAGGGGAGAAGGAGGCGGGGCCCAGGGGGTTCAGCAACAGAGGAGGCGGGGCGGCCGGTGACGGAGCAGGAGGCAGGGCCGGTGACGGAGGAGGGAGCGTGCTCGGCGACGGAGGAAGAAGAGGCGGACAGGTAAGGCGTGTGCCCAGCCCACCTGAGGGTGACCCTGCAGAACCCACCATAGAGAGTCTATGGTGGGCTCTGCAGGGTCGCCCTCAGGTGAGCTGTGTGGGATCTCAAGTAGGCTCTTCAAGGGGTCTAACTAGAAATCACATGGCCCCATACAAAATTTTGCTACCATGAACCAAGGTAATGTTGACATCCCACTCCACAAGTCCTCACTCTCTTGGCCACGCCTCCACAGAGTACCTGTCAGTAGGAAGGGGTGCCAGTCATAGTTTTGAGTAGGCTTGGGCGAACTCAGGCAAGCTGGGTTCACACCAAGCCCTTAGTCATCACTAATATACATCTTGGAGGGAGAGGGTAGGATCTGCTAGGGGAGATGACGGTGGGATCTGATTGGGCAGGGGAGGGTGGGATCTTATAGGACAGGGCAAGGGTGTGGGGTGGGATCTGTTAGATCCAGGGAGGAGGAGGTTAGGATTAAGGATGGGCTGCATGTTCGAGTCGAACATAGGTTCGACTCGAACATAGCATGTTCTAGCGTTCGCTGAACGCCGAACATTACGGGATGTCCGCGGTCTGTTTGACCGCGGCACATCCCACAATGCACTGCGCCGTCCGGCCAACGGTCATTACTGTTAGTTTAGGGGAAGGGGTGAGATGTGTTAGGTCAAAGGTGGGTGGGATCTGTTAGCTGAGGAGAAGAGGAGGGTGGGATCTGTTAGGTCAAGGGAAGGACGGTGGGGTGAGATGTGTTAGATCACGAGAGGGGGAAGAATAGGTGAACGTTTTTTTAACCACTTGCTGTCCGCCCGTTGTAAATAAACGGACGGAGAGCAAACTCCTATCAGCAGGGCGCCGTAAATGTACGGCATTTTTTTTCTGTGCACGAGTAGAACACACTTACAGGTGTAAACAGCAAGTAACAACTGTTACACATACAAGTGTTTGGCGTCTCTATAGCTGTCCGATCGCTTGTATGTGTCCCCCCTCCTGCAGCGCCGTCACCTTCCATCCCGGCCTCCGCTGTCCCCTCTGCGGGCCCGGGACCGGCTTGGCGGCTGTCATTATGAAGATGGGAGGGAGATCAGCATTGTTCCACTTGCTGAACTCCTTTACGATCTCTACAGTCAGCTGTCATTTCTCTGGCTGCTACAGCCAGAGAAGAAGCTGGTGAGGCAGATCTCTGCTATAGCAGCTTCTTTGGGGGTCCCCAAGTGACATTAGGAGCTCTTAGAGTGGGGTCTTAGAGACCCCTAATGTCTCCATAAAGAAGACCTGTCAGTGTGCCTGTGCTACCACATAGGCGGATTATTAGCGCCCTATGTGATAGCAATAACATAAAAAAAAAAAAATTAAATAAAGGTCACATATAAAAAAAAATGTAAAAAAAATGTAAAGTCCCCCACCCCCACGTATACGCACATATAAACGTAAATAAGCGCCAGGTGCGCCAACGCGCAAAAACAACAATTGCGCTGCACGTTACATATCACCGCAAATGTCAGAGTGCCAGCAATAATTTTAGGGCCGTAAAGCACTGATAACACAAGTGATGAGCGGTAAAAGCTTTTAAAGTATCGCCTATGGCCAATTTTGGGTGTCATAGGTTTTTGTGATTTCGCGGGTGCACGCAATTTTAAGGCTTGACAAGTTTGGTATCTATTTACCCGACATGACCCTGCCTTTTATATTTTACCAAAAAATTGGCTAATAATAAATGTTTCATAATTTATTATAGGGGAAACTTTTTTTTTCCAAAATGTTTGGTAATTTTCCCTTAATATAGTAAAATATTTTAAAAATACCACCAAAAGAAAGCTGTCTGTCCCCAAATAATGGTATAAAATTCATTTCAGTACAGCGTTGTATGACGGAATAAATGTCAAAGTAACTCAGCGCTAAATACTCAAAAATGGCCTGGACAGGAAGGGGGGTCTAACACCCCGGTCATCAAGGGGTTAAAGTGCACTTATCCTATAAGATATAACTAAAAGCAAAACTTTTTTGAATTCTTCTTAATTGTCCTGATCGCCAATGTTACTGGAAATGAATATAATGTACCGTTCCTCCAAATCCTATTTGTTTACTCAGTGCAACTTATAAATACGAGATTTGTTACATTTATTTTTTATTCCTCGATTTTCATTTCAATGTGAATTATGTGTATTATAACCGATGCTTCCAGCGTCATCAGAAATCCACATGTGCTAATTTCACTTAACGGAGAGACGATACAGAGCAATGAGTTGTAAGCTGGTTCGGTCCCCCAGTCCTCTATGTGTCAAGCCGCCGGAAGTAGTCGTAGCTGAGCCCCGGAAGGGGAGGGGACACCATGTGTGTCACTGTGTACATGCTGTGTCCTCTGTGTGATCAGGGATGTCATGGAGGAACCGGAGGATAAGGATGGCAAACACCGAGCAGAGGTGACCCGGGATGACAAACTGCTGCTTATAAAAGGTGCTGAGCTTCCCCTCTCCCCTCATAAGCCGCTAATACACCTATGTACGGGTTAGTGTAGAGCCGTGAGAGGTGACACCTCTCATTGTCCCACGTCTGTGTATTAAATGACCACTCGCTATAAAGTATAACTATAAGAAGAACTTGCTATATAGTAATTGCCCAATAAAAGAAAAATGTGCATTTATTTATTTTGCATTAGAGCCTGCAGAGTATTGCAACTGTGATCAGTGGATCTCGGTGCGATGCTTAGGCTCAGCTACACATGTGAATGGAGCTGATTGCAGAGTCTCATGAACTCCCTGTGAGACTCGTGAGATCTGCTGCAGACAGGAAGTGCTGTATAGTCCAGTGACAGCTGCCACTGTTTACAGCTGTGTGCAGGGTCTGTAATCGCCTGCAGATGATTGCACCTGGAGGCAAACAGTCTGCGTCCAGGTGCAGTCACCCGCAGGTAGTCACAGCCTATGCGACAGCTGTCATTGTATTATACAGCGCATGATTGCATTATATAGCGCAGATTGCATGAGTCTCATGGGGGAATTGTGAATGGGGCTTTATGGAGCTGGAGGAAGTAATCAATGGACTACAAGTGGGGGGCCATCACCACCCTTGCCCTCCATTGAGATCTTTGAGTCCCTCTGCCATGGTGGTAGACAGGACTTGTAGCCTTATCCTTCACAGATCCTGTGAATGAATGTTGTGACTGTGTGTGGGGGCCATACCAAATTCAATCATGGTCATTCAGATAAGTGGTCAAATGTTTACCCCTCTGTGGGTGCATTACATTTTGTTTTGGCTTTATCACAGGGACCATGGAGGTTTTCACTCCACTGGAGTCGGGATCCAACTATGGCTGCAACTAATGATTATTTTCATAATCGATTTGTTGGCCGGTTATTTTTTCGATTAATCGGATAAAAATATTAAATAAATGCAATTCTGAATTTTAAAAAAATATACAAATGCAGTGTTACAAAGTTTACTTCAGACTAAAACTGCATGCACAATGTTTTGCAATAGCACTGCACTGAAACGCATGGCATTGCGGTGCCGCACTGACGATCACACTGTGGGTGGCAGGCGCTTTTGGGGTGCCATTGAAATGAATGGCACTGCAGTGCACCTCCCGCAGCAGTCAAGCCAGAACCGAAAATGACTATTTCCCACTTTTTCCCACAACTGGACAAGTTGACAACCCTGTAGTGAATTCACTGTAGTTAAAATAGAGTTGTCACTTTGCAGAGGAATGGCCATGGACTAGCAGGATCACCAGGTATCTAATATAACAAACTTTTAGAATTAAATGGCAACTTCATCTTTAGCAAAGTTGTCCTTTATTAAATGCCCCCTCACCACTAAGGATGGGCTTAGGCATGTTCGCAGCTCCACGTGCCGAGCCCGCCAGGAAGCTGACAATCACCCACCTTGCGATAATCGTACGATTGCGGGATTTCCCGCGATTATCGTACGATTATAGCAAGGTGTGTGGGCAGCTTTACTCACCACTGAGTGCAGCTCACCTGGGAAAATCTTTCCTCTGACAAAGTCTCACTGCTTCCTCTTCATACTGCCCATGCTTACTGTGGCCCAATTCATTCCTGAAGGTGGCCATACACTTTACAACCATTGCAAGACCTTAGTCTTGCGATGGTTGTAAAGTAATTTAAAAAACGTACGATCTGCCCATCTTGGACAGGCAGATCGTACTCTCGATCATCGCAAGCCCGCCCCCCTGAGGGACGGCCTTCCGATGACCGCAATGCTGAACGGGCAGTGTGCGCGTGCGCACACCGGCCCATTCGGCATTTGTCTCCCGAGCACCGTTCGTACGATTTTCGGCTGGTTTGCTAGCGTGCTCTTTAGACAAAAGATGTGCGACCGTACAGTAGAAACGGTCGCACGTCTTCGTTCACACTGCTCGATTCTCGTACGATCGCGGGATTTCCCGCGATTCTCATACGAGAATCGAGCAGTGTATGGGCACCTTAAGTCATACTCATGGCAGCCTCCAGTGGTCTCTTGGAGTGTGGCTTACCAATAGGAATGAATGGGCTCACAGCACACCAAAGCACTCTCTATAAAAAACGCCAGTTGCTCGGCTGTCATACTGACCCTTCTGCTTTAATACTTTACCTCACTGACCTAAAGCAATCATGCAGATAAGGACTTCTGACTTTCCTGATGTGCACATTTGCACCAACCAAGTGAATTAGAAAGTATTAAAGCTTTGGGACAACAACCAGCCAGGCAGCTAACAATCTCAAAGGAAGAAGTTGGCCGTGACAGCTCCCAGTATTTCACTGATAAGTTCCCTGCGATTGTATTCTGCTGTTACGTGTACATTTGTGCTGGAATTTTGGTATATGCCTGGAACTTTCACCAATAGGATTAAATGTAGTCTGTCTTGTTATCTGTTGGAAATACAAACAATATAGAAATATAATTTTCTATAATCTATTAAATTCAGTTTTTCTTTTTTGTGATAACAGGGGGAATTTTTCTTGGCAGTGTTGCAACAGCGGGAATGCTCGCAGGTTTTGGAACAACACTGTCCCTTGCAAAGAGGCGAAGCCCCGGCTGGTTCAGTAAGGTATGTGTTTGTTTATGCATGCAGGAAACCCTATAGCACCCATTCCCTGCTGAGCTCCATGGTTCCTCCCTACGAACTCCACGTCTTTACAAGGTTACAGTAGTGATGTAGAGGTCAACAGGATGAACCACTGGCTGCAGCAGGGGACCAAGGAGCCAGCACTCCCGGAGTGTAAAATTCGGAAGAGTCTGAGAACTCAGTGTCGTGGGCAGCCGGAGAGGTTATTAGCAGTTTGTATTTAGAGAGAGTCGTTTAAAGAATGATGATAGAGAAAAATATTGTATTCGGGTAATTGTATGTGGCCAATACCTGTAATGATGGGATTCAGTATATGAGTTCCTTTTTATCTTACTTGAGTTATATTTTCCTTACCTTCACATGCAGAGCAAGCTGTCCAGGAGAAGTAACAGTTACAGCACTGGGGACAAACTATAACAGTGCTTAGCAATGGTTAGCTTTTAGTCGGGGTTTCAGTGGTTTCTAGTATTTAACCCCTTGCCGCTGTTCCTTTTAAAACGACTTTCACAATGGGAATCTGGGATGTACTCCCGATCATGTGATCGCTGTGACAGCCAATTACAGCGATCACATAATCAGGAGTCAATCCCCGCCTCCCGATCATAAACCGTGACCAGGAGCTGCAAGGGTTAAGTGCTAATTTTGTCCAGGGAGATAAAATAACAAAGATATACTCACCTGAATCTCAGACCTGGCTGAGACTGGCCCTTGCAGCCTCTCTCCATCTCCTCTCCGGTGATGGAATATCTCTCAGCATTCTCATGTCCAGTACACTGTATATGACATAATGACTCACGGGTTCTTAGATTGCCGGAGGGAAGGGGGAAAGCATCTGCAGGGACCAGTCTAGCAACCACCCGCGTCCAAGTTTCAGGTGAGTATATCTTTGTTGTATGCAACTCTAATGAGCTGTTAAACCTTGCAGTCCGGAGGTAGCTCAAAGATTTCATATGACTGGAGTTCTTTAAAAGTATTTACTGTTTGTTTCCTTTTTTTACATTGTGTCTTAGAGGACTGGCAGGCTGCCAAGTTTCTTTTTCCAAAGAATGTCATAGGAAAAAAAAATCTAAGGTTCAGTGTCCATGTGCAAATTTGAGGATGAATTTCTCCACAATGCCTGCAGCGGCAGAGGGGATTGTTGGCTTGTGACAAACTTTTCCTGCTTCTTCGAAATATATATTGTACATACATAGTATGCATAGTCTAGACCAGGGGTGCCCATTAGGTAGATCGTGATCCACCAGTAGCTCTCAAAGCTGATGAAGGTAGATCACGAAGGGTGTGAATGGCGGCCCCTTTATTCTATTTTGGTATATTTATTTTGCTGTGCACACATGATTACCTATTAGCCTGAGTCTGCTGAGCCAAGCTCCCTGACACCTCTCTGCTGGATACTGGTGGTTGAAGTGTTATGTATTACATCAAAGAATATTAGTTTACACAGCCTGTTGCACTACACTGTTTGCAAAAAACAGCAAGGTGAGCCAGGAGAGAGCGCGTGGAGAGACAGCCAGGGGAGAGAGTGCGAGGTGAAACAGCCAGGGGAGAGAGCGCGAGGAGAGAGAGCAAGGAGAGACAACCAGGAAAGAGAGGAGAGACAGCCAAGAGAGTGAAGAGAGACAGACAGGAGAGAAAACAAGGAATGACAGCCAGGAGAGAGAGCAAGGAGAGACATCCAGGAGAGAGCGAGGGAGGTTTTTTTTTTCCGTTGGTAGATCTCAATCTAGCAAGAGACTGGATGGATGGTACTAGATTTGAGGAGCTGTTATTCATTTTCACTCAATGGTGCTTTTGATGTTCAGTGTCTGGGCACTAGGTTGGCAGATTCTGCGCACCCAAAAGGGCTTTTACAATCACACTGGACAGTGACTTGAATCTCAAATAGAAACCACACTGTGATGTTGTAGTCCAGATACAAGTTTATTCCAACGCACCCTCATCAGCACGTTGTTGTTGCAGCCTGCCAATGGTGGCTGCAACAATCAGTTGCTGACGAGTGTGCGCCAATGCCACAGTTATAATATTAAGTATCAAGTCTGCATACACTCTTCCCCATCTTAGCCACCGAAACATGTTTGCTCTGTATACACGTTTCATCTTACTTTGGCATTAACTTTTATCTAGACTATAACGTCAATGGTGTGGCGCATCAGTTCTAGATTCACTCATTAAAGTTAACAAGACACTTTCTTGTATTGAGAGCCATAGATTTGAGAACGTGAAAGATGGACATCATCACAACAAACGGAGCATGCATGGACTGATCCCACTGAAAACAATTTCCATATATTTTGCTTCCACTGGAAAATGCTGCATAATGTGTGACAAACATCTTACATCAGGGGTGGACACATTAATATGGAATTCAGGAGCCAGTCTGCTCAATCCAGGATCCAGCAGGATTTTATTAGGAGCCAGCTCTATATTGACAACAACTAGAGAAAACCAAAAATGTTAGGCGCCGGCTGCCGTTTTTAAAGAGCATTGGCTACCTGGCTCCTGGGAATTTTCCAGCCCTGTCTTACGTGAACCCTAAAGCCACAAATGACACAATGGCACCTCTTGCTTCTGGAAAAGAAAGAGGTTTGATCTTTAAACTGCAAGCTTTCTTTAAACTAATAGCTGTAAAAATGGGTCGTAGGCGGGAAATGATTGCAGATGATATGGTAGATTTGAATAAAAATGGTTGGATGATTTCCTAAAAAAAACAGCATGCAAAGGAATGCGCTCGCTTCTAGAAATACCGTACACAGTAAAATGTTGTTTGCGGCAGTAATTTGCCACCAGGGGCCAGACAGGAATTTTTCCTTGTAAGAATTTTCCGTGTTCCTCTGGATGAACTGGGGTTTCTTGGTCTGCAATGTATTTTTTCTGATGTTCAATATGTCTTTTTTAAGTTAACAATGCAGTATTTTAAAACCATTAAAAAACTTGACTTATTTGCTTATATGTAACAGGAGATTTACTGTTGAGTACAGACTAATTGGACACATTCAGATGGAATGACTATAGATATTAGGGATGCACCAATACCGTTTTTTTGGTATCGAGAACGAGTACTGATATTTTCCTTGTGCCCCGATTATCAGGAAGTCGGGCAGCGGATCATGACCCGTTGCACGGCGGCCTGATTGCCACTTTCCGAGGCTGCCTGGCTTCCTGACCAATCCGGAAGCTGGGCTGCGAGTCACGAGGTGCCGTCCGACTTCCTGATTGGACAGGAAGCCAGGCTTCCTATCAACACGTGAAGCTGGCTTCCTAGCCAGTCAGGAAGCCGGGTGGCACATCATGACCCGCCTCCTGGCTTCCTGATTTTGATTTACTAGGAAGCCGGCTTCACTTGTTCCTAGGCTGCCTGGCTATCTGACCAATCAGGAGGCGGGTCATTACGTGCAGCCCGGCTTCCTGATTGGTTGGGAAGCCATGCTGCTTAGCAACACATGAACCTGGCGAACTAGCCAATCAAGAAACCAGGAGGCGGATCATAACCCACTGCCCGACTTCCTGATTGGAAAGGAAGTCCATTTCCATGCTCCCCCAGCACTGTCGGCTTTCTTTGAATGTTTGACCTAACGCACAATACAAATCTTGGCGTAGGGTCCTTCAAGTTCAGCACATTATTATATGTAACGGAGGTTCAACATTAATGTTTTTTGGTTTTTTTTGGTTTGTTTCTAGGGTGCTACTGCCACAGCTTCCTTGCCAGAGAGTGGTGCATCCCTTGCCTTGAGAGCTTTAGGTTGGGGATCGCTCTACGCCTGGTGTGGAGTGGGATTTATCAGTTTTGCTGTATGGAAAGTACTTGGAGTACACAGTGTGAGTATTGAACATGAGTCAACCATGGCATCCTTCAGTGGTTAATGAGCATTTATATGTGACTTTCTTTTATTGTCAATGCTTTAAATTATTAATTTTTTTAAAAAGCATATTAACCCCTAAAACAGAAATGTAATATTTGGCAGCGAACCAGTCCTTAGATGAGGTGGACTACACTCGTCCAGGACTACAGAAACCTCACCATTTCCTCTTCTCCATATCGGTTCTGTAGTCCTGGACGAGAGCTGAGAAAATGATAACAGTCAGCAAAAGCAGAAACACAGGAAGTTATCAGCTCACGTGATTTCTGGCAAGATCAACAGGCTGTTTATTATTGCATTTATCAAACGGATATAACAAAACTTTTTGTTTATTTAACTGTCCAAAAGGGAGCAAATAAGGGCTCATTCACACAGCCGCAGAGTGCCATACACCATCAAGAAGGGGAGTTTTTCTATGTCTGGGAGTCCCAGGTGTACGCATAGAGCCGTGGCTAGCAGCCTGTACAAATCAATGACAGGCTGACAGATGCTACAGCTACATGCATGTCTGAGTGGTTACATATGTACAGGGATGGGTGAGTTGCCCTGGACATGAATGCCAGTGACTCCCGGGCACAGAAATATGACACTCTGCAGCTGTGTGAATGAGCCTTAACAGAAGGTAATCGTTACATACCTATGGAACTAAGTATGGAAGTTGACCTCTACCTAAAATATAAAGCTTGGCTGTCTAACAGGGATTTTTCAGATATAAAAAGAAATCCGGATTAGAAGAAATGCTTCTATGTATATGACATTGAACTGTTCCACAGAGACATTGTGGAGTGGATGAAGATGTAGGCCTAGGCAAAAGAGGACCTGCCAATCATGAGGCCCTAGAGCAAAACTTTGGGCCCCTCTGGCTAACATTTTCTGTAGTGGCTGGCAGTGCTGTGACAATATGTGACATTGATCTTAACATGAAGTATTAGGGATGCATCAATACCGGTTTTTCGGTATCGAGTACAAGTACCAATATTTTTTTTTTGGCACTCGCCAATACCGATACTGGCATCCATGGGCCCGGATTATCAGAAAGCTGGGTGGTGGGTCATGATCCGCCACCCTGCTTCTTGATTGCCTTGGAAGCCGGTGTTCTATCGAAGGAACACCGGCTTCACGTTCCGAGGCAGCTTGGCTTCCTCAACAATCAAAGCCGGTACTCGCCCAAATAATCGTTATCGGCACCGATACCAATATTAGTATCGGTATTGGTGCATCCCTATGAAGTATGTGTCAAGGACAGGCAGCAGGAGAGCTGTCAGCATAGTCATCACAGTACTAGGGAGCAGTGTTGAGGATAAAATAATAACCTTCTTTAAACTTAAACTTTTTATGTAGAACCACAAACCTCAGCCCTCCTATAGGGTTTTAGCAGGGGTGAAACTCTGGGATTTGTGGCTGCATTAGGCATTCAGGGTTAATTTCAGTCTGTAGCAGACGTTCAGAGGGCAATAAATCTACACTGCTAAAATTGATAGGCAAATGCTTCTTCCTTTACAGAGGGGGGTCTGCGACTAGAAGATCCTGAGGTCTAAGGCCTTGTTCACACCAAATGCAGAGCAGATCCGGTCAGGTTTCTGCACACGCACACTAGTCTTTTAGATGCGTGTTTGACGCGTTTTTGGCTTTTTTAGTTTAACATGGGCTTTCAGTGCGCTGCGATGTGAACTGGAAAATACCATTGGAATACATTGGACGCAGTTTTGATCCAGTCTGCACCTGCTCTGGACCTGCTCCGCGCTTGGTGTGAACTAGCCCTAACTTCAGCCCTTCTATACTGGAAACCTCACAGTTTAGTTTTCCTGATCAGTCTTCCTAATGGGCCCCCTCCTACCCCAGGCCCCATAGCAGTACTAGTCAGTATGACAACATGTGCTCCCTGGGTATGCCTTCTTAGAAGATTGTCCCTCTGTTGCTGTGGTCTCAGTTTTTTTTTAGTTACAGTCCCAGGAATTAGTTCTGTCCAGTATGACTTTTTGTTATGATTACCAGTTATTGCTTTCCGTTACATGATGCAGATTGTGCTACCTGCCAAAAAATCTCTTAAATGAACCTTGGAACAAATAGAGTACAGAAAGGGTGTGTTCTCCTTTTTATTTCAGGAACTTGTGTATGCTGGGAGATTTTCCAGTGTCAGATTCCTAGAAGCAGAATAAACATGCTTTGCTAATAAAAGTAGTGCTCACACTGCCAGTGTTATCTCCCTAGTTGATGACCGTATCATGCAGACATCTTGTGAAGTTTATGCATGGGATGCTATACCGATCTAAATGCAACAGGTGTAACTTGTGTTTAGCTATGTGCTTATTTAGAAGTTTAATCTTCTTTTGTGTAAGTGATAGGTTCTCTAGCCCTGTGCCATAATACCCCAGGCTGGTGCCTGCACTCCCAGATTCTCACTGGCCAGCCATTTCATGTGGTTGGCTTGTTGCTTCATCTGGTCCAGGATGAAGTTGCCTTAGATGGCAGTACAAAGTGCTTCCAGGCAGAGCAGACATAGAGCAGACCTGCTCCCTCCATCACTGCTGCCACTTCACTGTGAGCATCAGACCACTAGAAGGGGATTGTGACCACATCTGAGTCACTGGAGGGAGACTGGAGTGTGGGGAAGTCAGAAGAAACATGTTGCCAGGATAAGTCAGATCTATTTTGCAAAATTCAAACTTTTATTAGGAGGTCACATCACAGTGCAAGTTAGTGCAGCGTTTAGGAGCCACACAGGACCCCTTCGTATGGCATATAAGGTGCAATTCTGGTATGGGGTGCATTAGGAATATATTGATTGGAGTTGAAGGAAGTTGCCCAGGTGGCTCTCTCGATCTGTCTGGAGTCCAGGAGAAAGTGGAAAGTGAGAAGAGGAGGCCAGGGGGAAGTCTCTGCCTGATGCTGAACGAGAGAAACACTGGAACCCCCTGCACTCCTTTCCTGTACGCACTGCCTGTTATCTTACACTCCGCACTCCTCTCTTGCATGTACTGTCTGCTATCATACACTCCACACTCCTCTCCTTTACCTACTGTCTGTTATCATACACTCCACAGTCCTCTCCTGCACATATTGTCTGCTATCATACACTCCGCACTCCCCTCCTGCACATTCTGCCTGCTATCATACACTCCGCACTCCTCTCCTTCACATTCTGCCTGCTATCATACACTCCGCACTCCTCTCCTGCATGTACGGCCTGCTATCATACACTCCGCACTCCTCTCCTTCACATTCTGCCTGCTATCATACACTCCGCACTCCTCTCCTGCATGTACTGCCTGCTATCATACACTCCGCACACCTCTCCTGCATGTACTGCCTGCTATCATACACTCCGCACACCTCTCCTGCACATTCTGCCTGCTATCATACACTCCGCACACCTCTCCTGCACATTCTGCCCGCTATCATACACTCTGCACTCCTCTCCTGCATGTACTGCCTGCTATCATACACTCTTCTCCTGCACATATTGTCTGCTATCATACACTCCACACTCCTCTCCTGCACATTCTGCCTGTTATCATACACTCCACACTCCTCTCCTGCACATTCTGCCTGCTATCATACACTCCGCACTCCTCTCCTACACATACTTCTTGCTTTTTCATATCCTCCAGCACGCCTTTCCCGGATAAATTGCTAGCCGTCATGTCCTTCACAATTCTCCCCTGCACGTACTGCCTGTTGTCATGCCCTCCACACTCCTGCACGTATTGCGTTTGACTCCACTCAATTAAAGTTTGTCAAGCTACACCTTTTTTTGAAGAGAGGGGAAGGGTTAGAAAACCAATTAGGTATTTACTGCTATGCCTACTTCCTGTTCTGCTGCAAATGTGTAACCAGACATGAAGTGCGGGGCACTCCCCAACAGTAACACAGAAATAAAAATACCTTCCTTTAGAAGACTAGTGGAAGGTTAGACCTCCTGTCAGATTTTGTATTGCTGTCAGTGTCCTTATTGCAGATTTTCCCTCACTTCCTGTCTGGTAAACCTGTTCTGTCAGCAGAACAGGAAGTGAGGGTAAATCTCTTTAATGGAGTCTTGGATAACAATCCAAACCACACAGTGGTTCAAATCCTGTCCAAACATAGAAAGAAATGTGCATGCTGTTTGGCTTTAATTCATTTGGGCAGGGCCTGAGCCTGATCTTTGTACATACTGACTGGAAAGCCGACTTTATTTGTTCCACTGCTCAGGCAGAATTTGATACTCTTGATGTACTTGTATATAAAAAAAGGCCACACATGCTTTCCTCGGTGATAAAATAAAGCTTTCAGTCTGAAGAGTTGAGTTTAGAATGTCATAAGGCGAGTCATCTAGCCCTAACGGACATATATTACCTCCAAATACTTTGAAAAGCCTGGAAGATATATTTCCATACCGGTTACATCTGGAGGCCAGGAAACATTTTTATTATGTTGCAGCAGAGCGCTTTCTCCAGGACTAACATTAGGGCCGTTCCCTCCCTTTGTCCTATTTAGCCGGGTTGTATGATATTCTAGCTGAAAATATCTCATTACAGAGCACTTGAGGCATGAAAACAAATGTCCCGAGAGAACCGTGTTTGTGAAAGATTCCAGGCAGAAGTGTTTATCTTGATGTCATGGTTACTTCTAGGAACAAAATGGGAATAAATAACATTTTATTTATCAAATTATTTACCCAGCATATGTACAAAGCACGTTTATTTTTCTGCTTAACCACTTGCTGACCGGGGTGTTTATACCCCCTTCCTGGCCAGGCCATTTTTCAGTATTCAGTGCTGCGGTACTTTGACTGACATTTATTCCGTCATGCAATGCTGTACTGAAATGAATTTTATACCATTTTTTGGGGACAGACAAAGCTTTCTTTTGGTGGTATTTAATCACCACTACAGGTTTGTTTTTTTTACTGTATAATAAAAAAAGTACCGAAAATTTTGAAAAAATACCTGTTCTCCCTACGTTACGTTGGTAAAATAT